CAACATTGAACATTAAGAAAAATTCCTATTTTTGATAAAATAGAACAAATTCGGCAAAATAAAATAATTTACAACAAAGAGCTTTTTAAGCTTGTTGGAAGTAAATCATATGGAGCCTAAAAAGTATTATTTAAACTAAAGTACCTTCTGCATAGCAAGTTAGAACTTTTCCCTGTGTGAGTGTGTGTGTGGTGTGTGTGTACCTTGTTCATAAGTACAACTAACAAGGTGTGCACAGGACAATGTAACAAAAGAAAATCTAATGAATGTACTTGCACCCCATTAATCAAAAGCTTTAAAAACACAAGGAACAACAATAAAATTCCTTCAATGAATTTACTCACTTGAAAGAGGCTGGGTTAGTCTTTCTCCTGCTGCAGCATGGGTGGATAAAGATTACCCTCACAGAGTCAGTTGCAAGAAAGACATCTTTAGTGGATACCACACAGGACTCACTCTCAACCAACTTTAGAAAAATCTTGCCCACAGGAAGGATTTCATGTGGAAATGTCACAGTGTGGCAGGATTCAGGTGCACGATAGTAATCTCTGAGTTGGAGGTATATGAACATGCTCTTATTATTTAGAGACAAAGTCAGGAAAAAGGTCAATATTTTCAGTCAACAATGAAAAGGAACTGAAGTGATAAAAGTAGGAAAAGTAATGAGTGATCCATTCAAGGACAGAGTTCATAATTAATTATGTTGCTGATGAGATTAGGGTTTATTCTAATCAAATAAATAAATCAGTGAATTACTGATTTCTTTGTGCATGCACACACACACACAAATATGACAATATTCCACCCCACTGTGTGAATTAACTGCTGTTTAATATAACAAAGTTTCCTGCCTGAATTCTAGAAAAGGGAAAGTAAGGTGGTAACGACTTAGCAGTGTTCAGTCTAAAGTGTCCAAAGAGAGATAGAGAATTCCTTAAAATCAATGAGATACCAGAAGTATTGCATGGTAGACAGTTTAATCAGCCATCCTAGTTTCAAGAAAATATTCCTTATGAATTCTGACGGAGGTTTCTTTTGATATTACTCGCACTCTGAAATCACCTGATCTGTAGGTGATCACCTGATAAATCACCTGATGTTATTCTCAGTCTAAAATCACCTGATATAGGAGTGCCAAGAGGGTGGGAGTCTCCTGCAGGGTACATGGAGTGAGCGGGAGGTGAGGCAGTAGAGGTAATCCTACATAGCTCCCTCAGTTTGGCAGTGGGCTAGAAGGGGAGCTGGAGGCCAGGTAGGATTAGCAGAGGCTTGCATTGTCTTTGCAGGTAGGGCAGATTTAAACTAATGGAATGAGTCCTTCAGGGAAAGCAGCGAAGGTAGCGTTAAGAGAAGAGATGATCAATTCTGAGAGGTCCCTGAGAATGAGAAGGGGATGGTACTCATAGCAAGGTAGAAGAGCCAGGCTTAAACAGAACAGGGTAGCCCTTCCACCAATCAGGAGGGATAGGGAAGAGACATGTGTAAATAGGTTTCTAGATTTGGAGGCAAGAAGTTTTAAACTGGAGTTTCTGCATTTTTTTTTCTTTTGGGTGAGGTAAGGGGGAGAAAAGGCACCATAGTCCTTTGCTGAGAGAGAAGAATAAGGTCAGAGGTCTGAGTGGGTCAATCGGAATCTGCAATTCCCTGCTGTCTTTGTCACTGCCCAGTAGCTACTATTTTATTCTGATGAAGTTTTAGGCAATCAAGAAGGAAGTACAGGATTGACGAGACCAAGAAAAATAAATTTTAGAAAATGAAAAAAAAAATCACCTGATAACCTCTTGATCTACTAATCTGTAATGGACAACATACTATAAGCATAAATTATGCCAGCTATTTATGCCATGATTGAAATTCTGGTTCATAAACCATCCTCTTATGGTTTGATTCATATGTTTGAACACACTCTTCCCCTGACTGAATCACTTGCAAGTGAGCTGTAAAAAAAAAAAAAAAATGCAGTTTCTAAAACAGCAAGGCAGAAGACAAGGTCTTAAACCCCTCTATCTTAATAAGAATTTTAAACTGCAACAAGTAGAAATTATCTTTCTATAGGCATAATGAGTTATGTAACAAGGAATCCATTTTCTAAAACAATACAACTTTCAAACTTTTGTGACATTAGCCACAGTAAAGAATGCATTTCAAGGTCTTTTTCCAGGGGTAGGTACCAGTGGGAGGTGGGTGGGCACAAGGAAAGGGTGAATGAGGGTGAATATGGTGGTTGTATTTTGTATTCATATATGAAAATAGAAGAATGGAACCTGTTGAAATTGTTCTAAAGAAGAGGAGGGGAAAGAGAGAGAATGAGAGAGGGGTAAATCTAACTAAGATATATTGTAAGCGCATATGTGAAAATTACAATGTGTCTCCCTGTACAACTGGGGACAGCGATTTACTGTTAATAAATTTTTTAAATGATTCATTTCACATCATGGTCTATACATGTATATAGTATATGCATAAGTAAAAAAGTTTGATCAAGCAATTCTTGTTGCAACTAGGAGTAAACATTCAGTCATTTTTCCTATTCTGTTTCATTTTTTAAAGGATTATAGTTCATTAAGCTGAATTCCATAGCAGAGTTGTGAACTGGAAACTAATGTCTGAAGAAACACCATTGTAGAATTCAGAATAATCATATTTGAAATAAATCAACTGCTACTTCTTAGCTGAGACATTCTTTAGCTGAGAGCCTGTCTTCCCAGTGTGCCATCTTAAGAGAACAAGGTGGCCATTTTTTTGGCAACAGGTACAATGCCACAGTGCCCCCCCTTTCTATATTTAAACAAAACCAAACCCATATTTCAAACCTTATTCTGAGAAATATTCAGAAACCTTATTCTGAGAAAAACAACGAAGATTGGATAACAAGCTGGAAAATGTATTGAAATGGGAAAACCCTAGCAATGCAAAGGACGTACTGTTTGTGGCTGTCTGAAATTGGACATGATCTGGCTTTCACTTAAAAATAAATGTGATTCAAACAGCTCTTGTAAAAGTTGGCATTCCAGTGTTCCAAAAGAATACTTGGGCTGATATTAACGCTGTATTGTGTAGATTTGTTTTAAATCTTGCAAAAAAATTCTTCCATATTTTGTTTGATTTTCTATACTGAAACAGCACTTGAAGTTCTATTATCATTTTTGATAAATGAGAAATAGTTATTTATCCATTTTTGTATTTTCCTTACCCCCTAAAATTTGAAGCCATTATTATTTAACACAATTTTACAAGGCTATGTTTTGCTCTAAGTCATTCTGAAGGTACTTTGTTACAGAACTGGCTTCCGCCCTAAAATATATTATCATTGCCTGTTCAAAGTGCTTTTCAGATTCTATTACCTTGAAACTAAAACAAGCATTGCTTTAAAGGAGAAAAACTGTACTAATTTTGTCAGTATGGAGAGAGGCTATTTTCAAAACAGAGAGTTCAATGTGAAGGGACTTAATATAAAACCTATTAGAGATGAGCTACAAGCCCTTAAAAATGTTAGGGACTTTTGTTGTTTAAAATGAAAGTTCCCTGGCTCAGCTGAGCTTGTACCCAAGTGAATATTTATATATGAATTAATAAATCTTGGAAACGGAGTTTATGGAAATGCTAACAGGCCCTGAGGTATAGCTGAATTTGTTTTCAGGTACTGCTATAATTTCCAGTGTGTGTATGCTTAAAGACTGCAACACAAAAGACTTTTTGTAATGCTGTAATTTTGTAGTTTTATTAGACTGAGTTATAGTACAGGAGAATATTCAGATATTGCAGCTTAAATGAGAAAACATGAATGGTGTTACTTATATAAAATACTACTGCAATAGTTCTTTCATTAATTTTTAATGTTCAGCACACTCAGTGACCTCTTTTATTCCTTGTTGTCAACATGGCAGGCTGGAAAAATTGAAGTAGGCTGACAAGAAACATAGTTTACATTGTGGCCCAACTCGACTTGACTCTGTCTGGGCCCTTGGTAAGGCAGTCCATGCTGTTCTGCATAACGGTGCTAGTTAAGCCCTGTTTGATATCTCCTGATAGGAGACAGTAGTGCTGGGCCTGAGCAGGTGCTGCTCAACAGCCTTCCTCCTCCTGACGTTGTGGACAAGCATTCAATTAAAACAGAGTCTAACCTTTCGCTCTTGGATCATGACTCACTCATGGACAGGGTCATGACTCACAGACAGGCTTCGTACTCTCACGAGAGAAAACTGGCCTGGACAGAGCTGTACTTGTGTGGATCCAGCCTCTTCCAAGAGCACACTTTGCTCTGCTCAGCTGTGCTTTTTCTTGAACAGTGGGACACTGCTATGTGACATACATTTGCTACTTTCTCCATCACCAAGGAGACTAATCCCCATACCAGCACAGTCAAGAACATCACAGCATTGTCTTTGCAAGGCCAAGTTCATGTTGTCACAGCAACAGAGTGAGTGCATAGGGCAAGAGGACCTTGGGGTGAAAACTTCTCTGTGTTTTTCAAATGCAAGTGGTGGAGGAGGAGAAAGAATATGCAAAGGTGTGAGGTTTGTCAACTAAAGCTTAAATGCTATGCTTTAATGGTTTGTTTGGGACAGTTGTGAAATCAAGGTTTTTTTTTTAAGAAAGCAGATTTTAAAATGCTAGGAAGAGTGGTGGGAACTAATTTAAGACAATTAAAATAGTATTATAATCGGGGTGATTATTTGTTTCTCGCAAGAGGCCCTGGTATTAACTTTTACTAATAAGTGGCAAGACAGTCATGACAGACATTTTGATAAAAGCATAGATAATAAGAGAACAGATCCTGTGCAAGACCCTATTTCCATATTCTCTCATCTTGTACCCACAGTCACTTGAGTCTTCACATTCAATCTGTCCCTCCTGTCATCACTATTAGGAATAGTGACCAGCAATGAGTCATAAGAACTTGAGATCGTGAAAGACGCACTACTCTTGCTTGCAACGTGACTTCCTGATCTGTCAGCAACCTCCAAGGAAGCATAAAGGAAGAAGAGGAGAACACCTACCTGATACACCACCGTATGTGGTCCGCCTTCCAGTACCCACTGCTGGCCAGGGAGTGCCATCGGCTTTCAATCCCATCAGACCTGAGACAGTGTTGGTGGCTGTAATACCATCTGCACCACCTGTTAGGAACACAGCAAAATTTGTCTACAATTCTAAAGAAATGGTGCTTAAAACCCATCCTAGCCTATGTAGCTCAGGAAAATGTTTTATTTTCTCTTCAGAACTCGTCCTTCCCTTAAATGTCTACGCTCATTTAACAGACACAGCGATGCTTAAAATGCTAGATTTTTAAAAAGTTTTAATCACCACGAGTTCACTTTCTCAATTATGAGATGGATTTATTGGTGTCAAATGTTTTGTATTCAGTGTTATTGCCCAGATAATTTGCAATGTTTTTACAACTCAGGGTACAATTTCCATAGAATAGAACAGAGCATACATGGTTTATACAGTCACACATCGGTTTATGCATTCAGCAGATATCCACTGAGCATGTGTTTATGGTGGTGAGCTAGCTTTTCTCAAATACAAAGGAGTTTCTTTAGCCAGCTCACAGTGTGGGAAGTTGATACCTTCTTTTCCACCTCATTGAAGAGTCAAATGCTATTAGTGATTGGTACAGTATGAGGTCCTTAATTGTGGAGTGGTTTGTTGTGACTGTCGTTTTGTTTCATAATTTTTGGTGTGTAAGACAAGTGTTTATTGGAAAGATTACCAAAGATCTGTGCTCCTAGGCTAAAGTTTGGTGTCCATTTATTAATGGAAGTCCAGGCATGAATTTATTTCATTTGTGAGAGCAAGTGCTCAATTTAATATTTTCCTAAAATGTAAAGATACACATGTATGCTGGTGGAAAAGGCATCCTTCACTGTGGCTACAAAATTCAAGCCAATATTTACACAACTGGGCGAGGGTAGGCCTCACCTTCCTTGGCTGCTCTCGCGATGCTTACGATATCAGTGACATTTGGGGTCAGCTTGGCAAAGAAAGGAATCCGAACAGCTCGTCTGACCCAGCGGCAGATGCTTCTCACCAGCTCTGGATCCTGTACAAATAGGGCAGTTAAATATAGCACATAATTAAAGAATTGTGATCAAAATGGGTACTGGATCAACAGCAGGGCTGGAGGTGTGCAGGACAAACCCAAATTGACAATGAACTACCTGGTACATTGCTCAAATTGCCTCAGCACTACATCTAGACTCATTAGGGGACGATTAACACACTTCACGTGAACTGCAAATTCATCACGTAAAGATTAAATTTCTCATGGGAGCCTTTGGAAAACAAAATTAAGAAGAATTACAAAGAATGGAATGGAAGAAAATGTTTCTCATTTTCAGGTAAATAATCCCAGGAACAGGAACGAATCATAAACTTCTGGTGTTTAAGTTCAGGAAACATTACAGAATTTCTAGTGACCTCATTGGTTTAAACGTAACAACAACAACAAAAATAATAATTTGAGCTGTTGACTCCCAGCAGACGGTATTCACTCTGAAACCTGTTGTTTAAAGTACTGAGGTGTATTCAAAAGAAGTTCTCTCTGTGACTTTATTATCCATCTAAATGTGAGATTTACTAATGGGATAATTTAGCCTTAGATCACACATGTGTTGATCAGTGAGTTCAGCTTACTTATGTAAATGCTACCAAGATCTGTGCAGCCTTTTTTTCAACGTTCGCCTACTTGGAAGAATTGATCAAAATGACAAAAGTGAAGTAAAATATCAAATGCTCATTTTTAAAAGCAAGGAATAGACATTTTCCGGTGCCTGTTTCCTGTGATTTTTTTCAAGCTTTTCTTTTCTCATGGGACAAGTATCATTTAGAGGGCAAATATCTATCCTTTCCACTGAAATAGCTGTAGTAATAATGTTCTTTGATTTCAACACATACAATAGTCATTTTTTTCATTACTTTGAGTGCAAAATTTATTCTGACAGGAACTGATAATGTGCTCTGATAAATTACTTTAAAATATGCAAAAGAAATTCATTATCGAACTTAGTAATATCATCTTAGCAAGCTAGACTGTTTTTCGAATAAAAGGAAAAGCCAGGAAAATACAGACATATATTTAAACCATGAAAGAGTCAGCAATTATATCACCTGTAATTAATATTTCTGTACGTAAGAATGTTGCTCTTTGCATTTTAACCTTTTGAATTCTTTGAAGATGAGATTTCTAGTGATATAACCTTTAGAAAGAACCTTTTCACTTACTTTAACGTGTCTTGATCTGTCATCCTGCCTTATTCAAAAAGTTATATGTTTATATGCTAAGGTGCTACCACGAGGTAATTTCTGTTGGTCGTTATTATCTGTAGTCAGTGAAACTTACTACTTTCAACAAGAAATCTTTGGCTTGCCTTGTTCGCTTTTCAGAACAGTAATTTCTTCATTAGACATAAATATTAAAAAGCACTGTATAGAGTGCTCTGTGGGGTGTAGTGTGTATTATGAATAGTAAAATCTGGAGACTTCGCTGTACAAATTCTACCTCATGAAAATGGAGATCCGCCCTGCACATGCAATCTTCATGAAATATTTATGACCATGCTCTGCCATTATAATGGTGGTTGCTTTTTTTTGACTTTCATTTCTAACTTATGAATTTCGATGGGACTTAGCCTAGAAATGACAGTAACTCCAGATGATATGAATTGCATGTCCATTGTGAAAGCACTCTTTAAGGTAGAATTTGACAATAATTTAAAGATCACTCGAACCACATCATATGGGGAATGTATCCCGATAAGAATTACTGAAACAGATTTAAAATATGCTTTGGTTTCAATAGGGCAAGCACTAATCATCTGACAGAAGCTTCTGAGTAACTCTCAATGCCATTGACCTCCATGTCTTTATAATTTACTCTGAACATTTGTCAGGCTTTCTTCCATTGCTTTTCTCTAGTTGACTACTTTGAATACATGTGTTAGTTGTTGTTTAGCAGTTGGGATTTGCTCAAAGGTTTTTTGGTTTCCCAAAAGCATGTGGCTCCTTGACAACTGATATCTGCTTGACTCATCAGTCTGTATTTCGAGACAGCACAATCTGACCCTCCCGTCGTGCTGAGGGGCTGATGGTATTCTCTTCACTTCATGTTCACTGCAGCCAGCCACTGCTCATCGCCAGCAGCTGAAACACAACTTAATTTCCTGAGAATTTTTAAAACATTTTCTGACCAGCATTATTGAGGAAGTTGCTTATCGATTGCACGGTTTTGTTTGACAGTTAAAACAGGGAATGTTCTCCCAACAATACATGCAGTGAGGCTAATAATACCATGCAATGAATGTGTATTAAAGGACAGAATAACTATTCACACTTTCCTGGTTTTTTTTTTAATACTTTTGAGAGTTTAAGATCCAACAATAATTAATAGTGATTTGACATTTTCTTATTTATTTCATTTTTTTGAGACAGGGACTTGCTTTAAAGCCCAGATTGGCCTTAGACTCACGCAGTAACCCAGGCTGGTCTTGAACTCACAATCTTCTTAACTCAGAGTACTGAGTGCTGGGATTATAGGTATGAAGCACCACATTGGGAAGTGATTCTGCATCTTGACTCCCTCATTTTCTAATGATAGCTTTAGACAGCTTTGCCTTCCATAACAAACCAGTTTTTACAATCCTATCAAAATGAGAAATTTTTAGGCAGTTTCTAGTACCCCTACCAAAATCTTCAGGATAGGAAACATACAGAGATATGTTTCCAATTATCAATACCAGCAAAGAGTAAATAAAATTTCCAGGCCCCTCACAATATTTCTTGTGTCAATGAATAAAGGATGAATAAAAACTTGACATAATACCTAGAGCCAAAATTCTCTTGGGCTGTGTTAGACCTTTCAATAAGCATTGACCTTACCTTTTGTATCTGACCTGACTTCCTCATGACTGTTAGGAAAACTTCTCAGACTTTGTTCCTACGCTTAGCAAACCTCTAACCTCCGCCAAACCTAAAACCATGAGCGTTGTAAGACAACTTCTGAAACCCACAGGAAAGATTTGCTGTCACGGACCTAACGCCCCAGCAATGTTTTCGTCTAACATATTGATCATGGCTTCCTCTGTTCTTTGGCTATGAGAGTTCATGCCGTGCCTTGGAGCACAGACTCAGGGCAACTTGAATCTGTGTTCCTGAAATCTATCCATTAAAACAGAGACATGCCTAGATTTAAGAAAAACCTCCATTTATTTTATGATAGATGGACTTCTGAAGTTGTGAAATCTAAAAATGTCACTTTACAGACATGGAGGTAATTCTGAAGAAAGTTGACAATTATTCCCAAAGAATAACTTAACAGGTCTTTCAAATCATCAAAATCATGTAAGTCTACCTGGATCAGAAAATTTTTATTGGCTTTTTCTACAGGCATCAATAATACTCACCCCTGAGCCATGGTTTGCAATCTCTCCTACAGTAGCTGTGTATATGTATGTGTGGTGTGTGTGGTGTGATGAGTGTGTGGCGTATGCATGGGTGGTATGTGTGTGCATGGCGTGTGTGCATGGCGTGTGCATGGTGTATGGTGTACATGGTGCGTGTACTCAATACCTGTCAATACTTCTGTTATTCATCCAAAACTGTTCTCAGTGACAAAACCATTTTCTGTGATGGAATTGTGAGTGAGGCACCATCAGCAAGAAGGCTCCGAAGACCTTACAGGAATGGCTGACAGTCCTGGGGAGCAAATGGTGCTTTTTAGGGTACAACATGATAAAGGTAAGCAGAACAGACACGGGAAATAGCACTGAAAGAGGACGGGAGCAGCCTAGAAGACAATGTGTCTCCCTGAAAATTTTCAGGAAGAGCAGTGTAGGGATTGCCTGCCATTAGCTAATATGTTCTGGAAAAAATTTCTGTGAAAACCAAACAAGGGCAATGTAAAGGCTAGGAAATATAGTGCTGTGTAGATTGTGTGCGGTATACTTTCTGTTGTGTAAAACTGGTTGTTTTTAAAGCTTAATATCTTAAGGCCATAAGGTAATTTTTAGTTCTAGTAATACTACATCTCTACACAAATGTCCCACCCTTCTACTTTTGAGGTCCTGCAATGACCTCTCTCGCCATTGTAGGGCAGGCATAGCCCCCACTTACTGAGGGCATCCCATCCCAGTGGCTTCCTGCCCTCTACAAAGCAACACTACAGAATGAGGCTGTGAGCGTTTCTTGACAAGCTAAATTGCAAGTGAGATTTTTGACTTGAAGAAACATTTCTCTCCAATTTACCTGGTAATTTTCACTCTGTACAATTCTTTCCAAAATGGATTTCAATGAATTCACTGAGAAATTTTACCAGTTATAAAATGTTTTCCACTAAGGAACTCCTAAGTCTTAATTCGCATGACACTAAAAGAGGTGGCTAGCATTTTTCTTATGTCTACTTTTCTGATGGAGAGAGCTGGGACCCAGAAGATCAATCTGAGTGCCTATTTCATCTTCTTAATTTTCTTTCCCATTATCATGTTCTAAGACATCATCTTCTTTAGCAAAATTGCTCCCTAAAGTGAAATTCAGCTGTCAATTGTAAACTAGAACTATAAAAGGCTTCTACCACATTTATCCCTGTAAGACTAGACGCAGCTACAAAGTAATAGGTAAAAGGGTGCATTTATCCTTCTTTGTCAATAAAATAGGGCCGAAAGAGTTAATTGCTGTAAGTAGAAGTATTAGTGAATGCAAAGACTGGGTGTTGGACTGGAGATGTTTTAAATTAGCTTAGGCTTTAGTATGGGTCTTTCTTGACTTTCTTTTTCTAAGTTAAACATTTTAACGGTTGTACAAGCACTTTGGAAAACATTTGGACAGTATAAACATGCACTTACTAATCAATCCAGAAATTCCACTCTTAGGTGTATATACAAAAGACATGAAAACCTATTTCCTCACAAAGACGGAAACATGAATGCTCACAGTAACTTTTTCAAAATAGATCCAAACTGGAAACATCTCAATAACCATCAATATGTCAGTGAATTAAACAGATTCCAGCATATCTGCACAATGGAATGGTATTCACTAAGAAAAGGA